GGATTAGAGGGTATGTGGATTAAAAGGAAAGTGGTGAGAACAAGATTATGATTGTTTTGTGTGTGGGGTTTGGTGGAGGATTTGGATAGATTTTTAAAGAAAGAAGGATATGGTTATGAGGGTTGGGGTGGTTGGGGTGGAATTGGATGGTGGTTTGAAAGATAAAAGATGAAAAGAGTGAAAAGGAGGTTGTGTAGGGGAAAGAAAAAGAAAAATAAATAAAATAAACACACAATGATGTACCTTGTTTGGGTTGCCTCCCAAAAAGCGCCTTATTTAACGTCGTGGCACGACACCATCTTTTTTTAATTTCAGTCGTTTAGGCTTGGATCGTGATGATTCCTCTTCTTCACATTTTCACTCGGGTGACTCTTATAGAAGAAAGGCTCAATTTGTCGACCCTTTATTTTGACAATCTTTCCGGGATCAAATATCCGGATTTCTATCACTTCATATTGTGAGAGTGAGGGTCCATGATTTTCACTTAGCATGGTCAATCGAAGGGGTTTTGATCTGGGTGGTATAAGAGGGAGTATGAAATGTTTGCGTAACTCCACCGTTATTCCTTGCATATTTGTGAACGAAGAGAAATCTAAATGATACTCACAATTACTGAAGATTTCGTAGATGTCTTTGTCGTTCTCCACCCTTTGTGTTTCCGTTAGAGCTTCAGGAAATGGTGGCATGATATCAGGAATGGCCGGTGGTGGAGTTGAGTTTTGAGGATACTCCTCCTCCTTTTGAGCTTTCTCCGTAAGCTCCTCTTCTTCCTCCTCCTCGCCAAAGTGGTTCACATTGCTTGGCATTTGTTTCAATTGATTCTCCAAGTTCTGTTCGTTGGACACTGTTTCTTGCGGGCATTGTGACATATCTATTTGCATACTCGTCACGTCGATAGTGAGAGCTCGGATCATGTCTTCAGTGGACATGCTAGAATAAGAATTCGAGTACATATGATCTCTTCTTCCTGGATTATATGTGTTGGAGAACAGATCAAATTTCCTTTGGGAACAAACATCATCAATTTGTTGAAAGTATTCTTCCTGGAGCTTCGGACAAAAATCCGTAAGATGCCAGTGAGACATGCAAATGTTGCATGTCTGGACATCTTGAGATTTTGAACATAAAATAAACGACTTTATTAGAGAAGTCAAGTCGGAAATTTGACTCTCTAGGGATGATATGTTGGTATCCATATACTCATGAAAGCTCAGAAAATAGAAAAGTAAGAATTCTTTATACTTTATTTATTATTATTTTTTTTTATTTTTTTTTGAATTAAAAAAAAAAGAAAATTTATTGCCTTTCCCCGGCAACGGCGCCAAATTTGACGTGCACTTTGTCGTGTGTGCACTCAAAATAAATACAATACAACACTAATACGTAGTATAGTGTAGTAAGATTCGTATCCACAGGGAAAGGAACACTTCTCTTTTTATAAAACTAGAAAAAGTAACAAGGGGGGTTTTATGATTGGTTTATGAACTTAAATTATGTTTAAACACAAAGATGAACGAGTTATGTGGTTTACTTTAAAAGAGATGGAGGCTTGGTTTTGCTTTTATCCACTTAATGAAATGTTCGTCGATCCCGGTTATATCTTTAACTATCTTCCTCTCGAATACTCAATCGAGTAGTATATCCAGTTCATCGAGGGTAGTTATTAATAACAAGATGCGTTCATTAATAAAACTTACTATCGAGTCAATATAGAACAAGCGCCGTATATTAACTTGATAGTAGCAATAAACTTAAGATGAAAACGATTGAGATTGATAACCTCAACACAAGCGGTTTATTGGTTTAATCAATATAATTAATCCCCTTGGCTTATTAACCATGAGAAGCATGCATTAACAACCCAAGTTTACTACCATTGAAAGAACCGAATTAATAACAAGCGTATTAACCGATTCTAGTAATAATATATGAACATAACTAGTTGATCCTTTAAGTAATTTTCAAAATATTAATATGAAATATGAATAGGAATTAATTAATACTCAAGGAAGAATATTAAAGAAGATGAATCCTACTATAGTTAATATCAAGATGTTAACTAATTGTCATCTTAGTAACACTCCCCAATATTAACATAGAGGAAGAAATAGCTATTACTATAACTAATGTCAAGATGTTAACTAATTGTCATCTTAGTAACACTCCCCAACATTGATATAGAAATAGTATTAAAAGGAAGAATTAATATTCAAGGAAGAAGATTAAAGGGAATAACTCACAACTTACAAATTCATTAAACTTCAAAGTAGCAAAACCAAGATAGAAGAGTTTAGCTCCTCATTTGGAGACTAAACATGATAGAAAATATAAAGAAAACACTAATCTAAACTGAGCTAAAGAGTATATGTGAATTGATGATTTTATTGTGAAGGAAAGGGGTGTATTTATAGGCTTTTGAGAGCTGCAGGGTCTGATACCCGATCGGGTATATAGGATACCCGATCGGGTATCTTAGGAAATTGCCCAGAAAGTCACTTTTCTGGGCATACCCGATCGGGTATGTCGGCATACCCGATCGGGTATGTGACAAATCTTCACGAAAACTTGCTCCCACGATCATTTGTTCCCGGATTTGATTTGGACAATCGAATCAAGCGAATACCCGATCGGGTATAGGCAATACCCGACCGGGTACATGAGTATTTTTTCCAAATCGAAATCTTTCTTGTCTCCTTGCACTTTCCTTGATCTTTTAAGGTCCAATCTTGATCCCTTGGATGATTTTTGACCTGTTTAGCTCAGAATAATCCTAATACAAACAAATTACAAATAAAAATGAAAATAAAATATTACACCAAAAGTGTGTAATTTCCACAACTAGAACTAATAAAAACTAGTTAAAAATACAAACATACAATCGGAAATAACACGAATATCAAATTTCAAATACTTTTATTTGTTTTTCGGTATTGTTCTCTGCACATCTTTCATGAGCAACAAGGTATGCAGTAAGTTCTATTGATTTGCAAGCATGTTGTTTACTTGTTTTTAGTTTTTAGTTTTTACTGTTTTTTTAAGTAAAATTGCAAGGTATAACAAGTTGCCAGAAAAGGTAGTGCATCTTTAACTATTTTCAAGATGCAAGTTGCCAGAATTGAAGAGTAAAATTGCAAGGTATAACAATGTTGTTTTTATTTTTTTCCAGTTCTTAGCCTGTTTTTTTTTTTGTAGTTTGTAGTTTTCTGTTTTTGAGTAGTGTATCTTTTACTATGTTCAAGATGTTGTTTTTCAATGAGTTTTACTGTGTACTTATATTGTACTCTTCAATTCTTGAGCATTGTTAGGCTAAGAAATCAAGGTAGCAATGTTATTCTTGACTTCTAAGAATGCACAGACACATACTGACAAATGGAAATTGAGACCTATGTGTACTATCCTTGAGCTTTAGATACACCAATAAAGAAGTCACAGGTAATATAGTTTTTGTTAAAAAGATCAGTTTTTGTTATATATATCCATTCACCCAATGTGTTATTCTTCTTATATTGCAATTCCTTTTGAACCCAAAATAAGTTTTCTGTTAAAAATACCACTCACTTAATCTATATTATTCTTTTATTTAGAATTCTACTTGTATAAACTCATTAATGACAGAACAAAAACAAAACTTCCTGAACAAAACAGAACAAAAATAGAACTTCCTGAACAAAAACATAGTTAATCATCCAAACTCTCTGTGGGATCGACCTGAACTTTCACTATCTACGTGTTAGTTTAGTTTTTATTTGGTGTTAAAACGACTCGCACCAAAGTACATGTTACTATATTTTTTTCATACTAATTAAATAGAGACATTTATGCAGCTACTACATAGATCTACTGTCAATAATTGACAAGTTCTTCTGGTAACTTCTCAAAGTAATGTCATTAATGGTAAACATTATTTGAACTTATTATAAAAAACGTAGTTTACATCATTATAAAATTCATAATTTTGTTTTCCAGGCATACTGATTTCAATAATTAATGTACTTACTCCTTTTTGTTTATTAGATTTTATGGCATTTTAGTTTTAAAGTCATTTAAATAAAGCATTTTAGTAAATTACAAAATCCAATTACCTATTAATTAAGCCTATTTATTCCACAAACAAAAAAAACCAATCACCGATTAACTTCTATTTAATTTATTTGTCCAAAAAAAAAAACTATTATGTGCCTGTTTTTCTTCTGCCAAACATGTACTTTTTATTTAAAGACCAAATATAATGACAATAATTTCCAAGTAATGGTTGTAGTTGTTATATCACAAGGTAAAGCAAATGTCACTAAATGCCAACGTTTCTACAATTCCAATCAACATGTCTTATGTCTTACACAAGTAGCTTTGCAAAACAAGGCAAATAAACGTAAAAACAAGTACAAGAATGAAACATACACATTCAAACCCAACTACATGTCTGTTTAATCTCATTCACTCAACACATATTTCATTACAAACATCCTTGACATATGTTTTCTATTTCCCTTTGACTTGTTTGAAAACATAATACATGTATTATAAGTCCATTTCATTACCGACATCCTTGGCATATGTTTTCTATTTCCCTTTGACATATGCTTTCTATTTCCCTTTGACTTGTTTTAAAACCATGTATTTACACATTGTTTTAATACAAATCGGTGAATTTAACATGAAAAATACATAATTAACATCAAAACAAATGGTTTTAGTTTGGTACAAATTCTCTCAATGAACCTGCATAAACCGAAACCGAACCGAAAATGAAGAAAAGCGAACCGTAAACCGATTTGCCTAGCTATGATGAAGAAATGAAGAAATACTATGGGTGCTATTCCAAATCAAAATGTAATACCACCATCATAATGTTCCTTACTATGATGCCTAGCTAAACTTAAACAAACAACAAGTTTATATAGGAAAGTGTTCAGATTACATAGTAGTCAGCATTAACACACACATACAATGCGTGTGGAAAAACTAGTACTTAGATTATAAGTATAATACTTCTTTTAGGGGAAACAATAGCTATAATAATTGCCACCCAGATTGTTACATTTATAAGGTATATATAAGATAAGATACTAGCAATATTACATAATTTTACTCATACTTCAGCTGGACTCGTACCAAAAAACTGGGTTCAGTCGGTCCGCGTGCCACCGAGCTAAGCTTGTAGGACAGAATTGTAGCTAACTATAGAACTCAAACGAGCAACATCTCGATAAGTTTTGTAGCCTTCTTGTTGGGAGTGTATGCCATCAAACCCCCGGCCTTGATACATACGTAGGGCTTAGTAGTATAATATAATAATATAATAAAATATAAGGAGATTATCTTAAATAGGAGTAAAAAGGAATTTCAAAACAGGACTGTTACATTTTTATTCCTTATACAAGAGTAAGTGCTATCATATTTTGGCTTTACCGGACTTTAAAATGAGAGTGTTTTTCAAAATTGATAGTAATTATTGATAAATAAGGAATAATAAAGGCAGTCATATTCCGATTTTCAAAACGTTTTTAATCCTATTTAATCCAAGAACTTTCTTTCCCTTGGGTAGGGTGCGCCTCACAGTAAGACATTATTACAAGGGGCGTTGTTGACGAGCCGGACGTTGTTACAGATAGCATCAGGTTTATTGCCGTTGTAAGTGAGGGCAACGTCGGACACCGTTATGCCAGTACACTTGTGGGTGGCGCTGCATTTAAAAACGACGGCTTCCTGCGAAGCCGACGTCCCACGTATGTCTTCATACTTGACGTCTTGGATCTGAACGTTGGAGTCCTCGGTCGACGATGATGATTCGTACTGTTGGTCAATGATCACGGGGTTCTCAACGTCCTCCATCGTTAATTGCTGGAAGAGCACGCCTTCCACAAGACCCCGGTTGTTGTTCGCAAACGTCTTGATCCGAACTCCGTTCGTCGTTCCGTGAAAATGAACATTTTGTACGGTTATGTCTTTCACTGGTTCCTCGCCGCTCTCTTTCCCTAGACTCCCTATGCTGCACCATACATATATACGTATATTTTATTTCCAATTCAAAACATCAAGCTAATCAAGCAACATCAACTTAATTAATTATATATATAATAATTTCCTAAACCTTATTTCACAACGCCCGCGTATGACGGACTCCGTATGTATTAATTGACTAATGATCGATAAACTTAATTAATAATTGTATATTACAACGTAACTACCTTGTTTTGATGAGCTCGTATAGTTTTAGTAACTAATTAAGCCAAGTGCGTGCGTGGTTCTTATTAAATATTAATGACAATGAAAATTCGTACTACAAGTAGTATATACTCCGTATGTTGAAAGCTTACTCTTTCATATAGTCATATATATTTGGTACGTAGTATACGAAGTATATAATAAATTATTGTGAGTAATTTTCACAAGTTACCATGACTGCGTGGTTTCTCAGAAACGAACTAAAAGTTACTAGTATAATAAAACAGCGCAGCTATTAAAATGTTTAGTGTCAAGCTAAGTAGGCAGACATGTAACTACCAGCTTTTTAAGGATGTTTTAAACTAATGCACATGTTGAAATTTAGCTCTTAAAAAAGTTGAAGTACATCTTTTGTCTATCATGGATATATCATTGTAAACTATTAGCAGTCTTTTTTAATTTATAATACTACTAGTATGTACTTCGTATGAGATTATTTATGTTTAAAATATTATTATATTTGCTAATTCATATCATTGGTACGTACATTAGTTATATACGCACGTTTCTTTTGGAAAGGAGAATGTGCATCATATATATTCATTGTTTTTAGCTTTCAGTACATAACTTATACAGTTTTACGAGTAATACATATTCATTGATTCTATTTTTGTTCTAAAAGAATTATTAGTTACAAATTAAATATTTAGAAGGTGCTCGATATAGGACAAAAATAGACTTAAAGTACCAAAATAGGACTAATTTAAGTATGTTTTATTCCTCAAATAGGGCTAATTTAATCCTATTTAAGGAATAAGTTTATCAAAACTACTCAAAATATAAGTGAATGAGTCCTACTTGGAATATAAAACAATGATGGTCCTATTTATGAACATAGTGACTGTTTTAATCCTATTAAGGGAATTTTATCTCACATATTTGTGTGTAACTTATAAATTCTACTTTAATGAAAGTATTTCTAATAAAAAGCATTTTCATATAATCTCATATCCTAAATATATAATTTATTTACAAATAAATATTGTTGATCAATGTTTTAGGAAAATCAAGTTTTATATACGAGATAAAGGAATATATTCGATGATGTATATACCTTACTCCATGCCCGGGACCACAATCCAAGCCATCAACCAACAAGTTGGTGCAGCCTGGACCAATAGAGATGCAATCGTCCCCGGTTCCGATAACGTTGGAACCAGTGATCTTAACCTGAGAGGAACGTGAAACGTGTATTCCGTCTGTGTTCTGGCTGTCCTCCGGGGCTTGAATCTCTGTGCTTGTCACCACGACGTTGCTACAGTCGACAATCGCCATATGAAACATTTGACTATTTTGTAAGGTTACTCCCCTAATGGTCACTCCAGCAGAGTTGTGAATAGCCAATGTCTGAAAAAATATCAAAGTACGTATGTACATCACACCATCCTATATATATTTAAGAATCAAGAGTATACACTACCGACTACACAGTGTCTTCATCTCATTTTACCCGACGTTTTTAATCAAAGATGGTAAACTTTAACCAATTATTTTATCTAATAAATTTATGAAAAACTTAATAAGTTTATATTTTTATGATAGTGTTTTTGACAGAGAATATTTTATATCAATACTTGTGTGTATAAATATATAACAAGTCGAAGTTAAACACCCTTGAAAAAAAGAAAAAAAAAAGGTTGGGGGAGTATCATTGAAATTTATGCGGAAAACATAGAAACAAAAACAAGCGCAAATACTGCGGATTAAAATTAAAATTAAAGATGAAATGTGATCGAATAATGCGGATTAGGATCGCAGAAAATAAAAGAAAGCACTTGAGTAAACATTTTAAGATGACATGTCATTGACTAATGTGTATATTTGCACAACTCGTCAAAAATATATTTTTTGAACTTTTTAATATTTGTTAGCTTTTAAGAACTCATAAATTATTATAAGAATAAATGATCTAATTGTTTGATGACAGATAACGGTTTGTATGATACAATTTTTTAAAATGACTATCAAAAAGAGCTTCTAAAAACAATTAAGTCAAACATTCGATATTATGCATGAGCTTTAATTAATTTTGGATACCTTTAAAGTAAGGATTTTCCAAAAAATATTACTAAAATAACATTTATTTACACAAATATGACTAATAATTACTGCAATGTAGTGTGATGTTAATTTAAGTTTAAAAATTAAACTTAAATTACTATAGTTTCAATACTCATTTTAGTTGCTCATATTATGCAAACCATCTTTACTTTAATCATAAAAATGTAGTTATTTTTTTAAATAATACGTAGTACAAAATATAATTAGGTATGACCGAATGATGTGGTGATTCCTAGATCGATCAAACAAAATTTTACGGAGTATTCCCGAATCACCGAATGAATGGTGTTTGCATCTATGTGAAAGTTTGGATGCTATTTTTTCTGCCTTCAATTTAATTACTGCTCATACATACAGAACCTACAATGTTTGAGTTTGTAATGATATATTAGAGCATCTTCAATGGTACAATGTGTACGGTGCACACGTGGCATGAAAGATGACCACATAAATATTAGTAAATAAATTATTTCTCTCCTTATTTGAATGATTTTATACAATTTTGGTAAGTTTTTCTCCACAATGTCAAGGAGACCGTCTAATGTTGACATTGTTGTTGACATTGCAGGGAAAAACTTACCAAAATTGCTTAAAATCATTCAAATAAGGAGAGAAATAATTTATTTGCTAATAATTATGTGGCTATTACTCATGCCACATGTGCACTGTGGACATTATAACATTGGAGATGCTCTTAGGCCGGAATTTATGAATGCCCTAGAATTTGGTCCGGGCATTCTACAAAAATACTCCCTCCGTTCCCAAAAATACTTCCCACTTTCCTTTTTGGGCCGTTCCCAAAAATTCTTCTCACTTTCCCTTTTTGGACAATTTGTGTGGCTCACATTCATTTCACCTTTTTCTCACACAACCACAACCACACATTTCCACTTTATTCCACTTTCTTAATAGGCGTGCCAATTCAAACCGGGAAGAATTTTTGGGAACGGAGGGAGTACATCCTATGTTCTTTTTTAAATGCAACGACCATTTTTTTCACGTTTGCGATACACAAGTTTACAATTAATATCTTTAATTCCTTATTAGTAAAAGAATTAAAAAATATATTTTTTTAAAATTTAATTTATAATACATTAATAAATAAAACAGAGTCAAGGTAGAACACATGAATAGTGGATAAAGTTCATTTAAAAAATAATGAGTATACTACTAGCTCCGGTATGTTATAGATGCTTTGCTTACCGTAGCTCGGCCCGAGCCACCTTGGGCGTTTAGGACCCCACCATCAATGAGAACGTTGCTGACCTTGTAGAACTTGATCCACGCTTCTCCGAAATTTGCATTTTCAGGAGCCAGATGTGTTGTCCCTTTCATTTCGAATGTTATGACACCTTTGTTATTGCAACCACTGCCGTCGATAATGACGGCACCTTCACTGAAGAGTCCGTCCGTCACGGCGAGGGTTGCCGGACCACCCGATTGACACGCCTTACGCCATGCACTTTTGAGGCTGTCTTCCCCGGCCGCCGCCGACACACCGGCGCTCTTGTTATGTTTTCCCTTGTAACTCGTCACAGTGTATACTGCTTCTTCCTTACGACCCAGTGCTACTGTCCTGGCCGCCACCATAATTGACAAGCTTAAAACCAGCAGTGTAGTGATGATCAAATACAAACTTCGAGCCATTTTATAAACTTGTTTTAAACAAGCAAGATCGATTATTGATACTCTACGGTGAAGTGAAATGAATCGTTAATGGAGCTTAGCTTATATAGGCAGTTGATCTCATGAAGGCCGGGGACGACGTCGTGTCATGGTCACTGGATAGGTCCTTTTCATATTAGTAGTCTCATCCTTAATAATACTATTTCCGTCTCTTAAAACTTTGCCAAAGTTGACCGGCACGGAGAATAATAAAGTAAAAACTGTGTGGTTGAGGTTTGTGCAGAGAAGAGAGAAATAACAGAAACTACAAATAATTGACCAAAAGAAAAAGTGACAAAGTTTTTTTGGACGTCCCAAAAAAGAAAGATGGTAAAATTTTAAGGGCCGGAGAGAGTACTAATCATATATGCCCGCTGAATTATTTACCATCCAAAATCATGACAATAATCATTATGTCCCTTTGCCTTTTTCAAGTTTCTCCTTGTTAATTTCACTGGAGAAACCTGAATATATGTTTGTTTGACCTCGGATATCAGCAAGCAACGTACATACGAAGTACGAACAATTTTGTGTTAGCTCCCTAACGTCAAAGTGGAATTTGTGGCATGGTACTATGGTCAAGCTCTTTATTTATTTATTTATATATTTATTTATTATTTTAATTATTCCATCACTCATTATTTGCTTTAGTTATTTACGTATTATTATTCAACCATTCATTATTTATTTATTTATTTACTTATTTATTTATTTGTAACACAAACTTTTTACTTGGTGCGTTGCAAAGATGGAATACACTACAAAAAAACGTCTAATTAGGCACTCAAATTAGTCACTTTTAAATTATGTGACTACTTTCACCACCTTTCTCACCTATAGAGTGAGTGAGTAAATCGATAGTGTTTCTCACCACTTTTATCACTTCAAATAATTAGTGACAAAGGGCTGAAAAACTCGACCCATGTTACATTATTACCGCATACGTCGTATCACGTACTGCTCGTTTATTTTAATTTCGTGTTGCTACTTTTAATTTTTGTTTATAACTTCCTCCTTTTGTTCTCTTCTTTACAGAACTACCTCCACTTACCCACGTACGTTGCCCACGCAGGTCAAGTACAAAACACAAGAAACTTGATAAAGCAGCTTGATAAATTTGTAAAACATGCTATATATATAGCCGTTCATCATTTGCTCCTTTCTAGCATGCGACATAATTAATGCAAATTCCATGCATTTGATATGGCGCTTAACTTGATAAAGCAGCTTTGATTCATCTTGCTAGGGAGATCAAGGCACACCCTAGCTTGCTTCTATGGTGAGTTAGAGCCAAATTAAAAGCATGGAAGATCAGATATGATAGTGCAATTCCATAGAAAGTATAGTATAAGGGTATGCTTTAATACTTCGTATAATTTAAGCTTACGAATTTACGAGAATAATTATAATTTATAACTATACAATGCTTCTTCTATGCTGTACTTTTTGTTTATATTTTAAACTTTAGGATATTTCACCTTTTGCTTTAATGTTTCAGAAACATCAAGTTAATTGTGAATTGAGGAACCACTTTTGTGAACTCAAGAACAATGGCATCTATGAAGACGGATTTAATGCTCCTTCTCCACTTTCAAATATGTGCACTTACGCCTATCTATCTATAGATCGTGTACATGCAATCTAACGATTCATCATCAACAAATCGGAATTATCAAACACATTCTTACAAGTTCATTCAAAAGTTAGTAGAAGCTCAATTAAAACGGTTGTTTAAGGCTCCGATCAAGCGGCCATTGAAGAAGAAGATCGAAAGTGATAACAAATGAATTGTTCATTATGTTCATAAATAATCTGAATTATCACTGTCTATCACAATCTTTGTATCACTTTATATGATGAATCTATCACTTTTATGCAGTATCTGTGTCTTTGAGTTACTCTATCTCAAATGTCAATAAATAATTAATTATACTAGTACTCCACTACATAATAGATTTAAATTCGCACTCTGATCTGTATTAATTAATTGAAGTTATATGTTGTGAGTACGTATTATCTAAATTTTTTAATTTAAACTTTTTATTGTATTGACCAATAGTTACTTGCTAGTAGTTATTACCGAGTATAAAATAAAATGACATCCAAATTAATTAATTATGTACTCTCTCAGTTGATGCGTCTTCACAAAATACTCACCTATTTTCTCACTTGTTGGAGGAGTGAGTGAATTACTCACTCTCTAAAGTGGTGCCAATGTATTTGGCACCGGGATTAAGGCACCACACACGTTTAGTGACTATGATGGTGAGTAATCTATTTTGTAACCCAATTTATTTTATTATGAGTGACAAACTTGGTTACTAATGAATAGTATTTTTGTAGTGATATTATAGTATTTGTATAAAATAATACACCGTATGTAGTTTATTTGTGTATAATGAAAAACACTAACGAAGTCAATAAATAAATCATTATTTGTGTCCAATTCCGTAAATAGGAGTGAAAAAGTTTTGAAATTCGAAAATAGTATTATCATTTTTTTTATTCCCTGAATAGGAGTAAATTTCTGTCAAGTTTGACATTACTACGCTTTAAACATGACATATTTTTTCAAACTTGGCAAAATTACTCTTATTTAGGGGATGAAAACATGAAAGTCCTATTTTGGAATTTTAAAACGTTTTATTCTTATTTAGGGCAATTTCTAATAGTAAAATAATGAAAACATGAAAGTCCTAGTTTGACATTACAAACACGTTGTATGACAACTCATAAAATAATACACATACATTTTATGAGAAAAATGAGTTAATAGTTCATAGAAATGTTATTGTACGTTTCAAATCATTTAGCTGAAATTGACATCAATAATTCAATTTTTTTTCAATTTTACATAAGTAATCATTACTACAAATATTCACAACAATGATCTCAACTGGTTAACTATTATAAAAAATAAATCGAGTACATGCTCACAGTGTTAACTTTTCCATCAATTTTTAATTTTTTTTAAATATTATGAAGCATGTGTGTGTCTAAGAATTAACAATATTATATTTGAGTTTAATTTTATTTATATTGGAACTTTAATTTAATCTAAATATTTTTCATAAAACATTATAGAAATACTTAAACACATACTCATCAAATTCTCTATTGTCTTTTGTTCTTTATCATTATAATTTGTTTATGCATTCATTCATTCATTTATTTGTAACATTAATCGTTCACATGTGTGTTGCAAAGATGGAATATATTATATTATTTGTATAAATAATACTCCGTATGTATTTTGTTTGATATATGCTTTATGGCGTCGGTGACATATGTGGTGGCGACACTAACATTAAAATTTACCGTTGAAATCATGGGTTTCCTAATTTATTACCTGGTTAATCACATTTTAATTTGATCCATCTAGCTATAAAAGTAGTTACTTTTTGTAAATGAGCCACAATTTAGTCATATTAAAAAAAATCATGTAGCAGTACAAAAAAACGTATACCATGGAAACTTTCCTAGAGAAAATTTGCCTAAATAGATAATTTATTTTAGAGAAAATTTCCAAAATATGAATCAGATATAACACATTTTCTCGAATATGCATGAGTGCCAATTTTTTCATCTCATATTCGTAACATTAATTCACTCCCATTCACTCAGAAAAGTAACTCCAATTGTACTTATTCTGATTATTCCATATTCAGTATGTGAAATCAAAAGTTACTTGTTTGACAAAAATGTTGACAAAAATGATGACAGATCACTTGAAATTATGTAGCTCGGATACCTGACTAGGGTACCTTATCGACGTGTCTGAAACTTTACCATATCAGATACTCTAGCATACCGGTATCATACGTTCCTGAGCTGTATCTGCAATTTATTAAAAGTCTCCAGCATTTTTGGTAATTATTTTAAAATTCAGATACATGTATTAACTTTTTAATAAAGAAAACACCTAAAATGAAATAATAAAAGTCTTAAAATGTGTTTATTAAAACTTTTAGTTTCTCTATTGTCGTTTTCGAGAATTATTTATCTAAGAACTTTGAGTACTTAGCTTGCACTTTTAGATTCAAAATTATGATTGTCTACATGTTTCTCATTTTAAATTAGTGACTTATTGACTATATTTATATTTTAAAATCTACTACTACCTCCGTCCTACTAAGTTTGGGACAATTCGGTTTACGATGCTTGACCGACGATGAAGCAAACAGATCCCTATACGCACTCAAATTATTCTTAAGATTTTTTTTACATATTCAGAAACTACATTAAAAGTTTTACAAAGTCGCAAAAACCATAACCATATTTGATATATAAAGTAAGAGATTAAGAGTGATTTGTGTTGACCAAGTGAATAGTGTTTGGGACAATCTTAGCGGGACGGAGGGAGTAATATATATGGGATCGGATAAAATATGAGTTTATTTGTAACTATCTTGATAATGTGAAGTACTTCAATGACATGAATAGCAGGGGATGATTATATATGTGTATATATATTCAAAAAAGACTTGTAATTTTTAATTCTATAAATAAACCCTCATGATTTTTTATATTAATAAATACACCCACATAACTTTTAATATTTACAAATATACCCATGTATCTGTATCCAGCTTTTTTTGTCATATCCATGTGCTCGTTTCCGCGTTTGTGTTTCTGTATCAATACTACATAGGCTGAAAGTAAAGACTAACGGGCTCTTAAAAGTCTTTATTACTCATTTACTCACCAATATCTATATATTTCGTAATTAAGAACAATCTGATAGTTGTAGTTCCAACATATTGGAGGGATGTAATAATAACATATATTTGTAGATACAGGTTAAAGCCTGATGTATTGTGTGAATTATAATTATTTACAACAAAATAAACATATTCATGGCACCCGATCAATATGGGTATGCCCTTCTCATTATTTCTCACAAGGATAACGAAAGCACTTCATATTGAAGTGAAGAAATCTAGTAAGAAAATGAATTTCTACTTTAAGACATTTCGCTACAGATTGAAAAATACAAGACTAGAGATAATTTAGGATCACT